TTTCATTGAAATGTTTTGGAAATATGAAAAACCCTAAATGCTTTCATATATTATTTCCATTACGGCCTTGTCATGATAAATTTTTCATAGAAGTCAACATAATTTCCAGTGTTTTATAGAAATCGCTCAATTAGCTTTCTTGTCATTTAAAGCTGGTTTTTACAACCAAATTATTTTATAAGCCGCAGCCATTTTGAACAATGCTGAAAAACATTGTGGCGTATAACTATAAAAATATCACAAATTTAGCCATGTTCCTAATATTAAATAGCAAAACAAAAACAATTATGAATATTTATGATGATTTTAATGATTTTGGTGCTAGTTTCAACGTCAAAAATCATGGCATTTCAAAAAACCTTTTTATTTTTAATTATGATAATATTGGAAAAATGACTTAATACGCGGCGCGTGTAAAATTCACTAGATATATACCATACAAATCACAATAAAATTTTCCCTGCAATAAAACTGCTTTCCCAAAATGCAGTAAAACCCGTAAAATAATATTGAGTAGGTATTTATTTCACCATATAACATTCCGGTTGCAGACATTGTGATTAAACAGAGATGCTTGTTAAGTGTATATCTTCTGATGCCCTTACGATACAGTTAATAAATAATTTACTTTTGTTGATAGATCTTATGCTACAAAAATGTAGTATTATTGCTACTAAAGATACCAAAATAGACTCCTTATAAAATTATTGTTTAGATGATTTGTTGCTATTATATAACTGACAATGTAATCTGCTCTATGACCTAGTTATAAAACCTTTAAAGAACTATTTTATGAAGGTATTTTTATAAGACCTGTATGAACGTTTATATGACTATTTTTTTATTATTTCCAACAGGCCTTACAAAACCTCAACAGTGACTAAAGTGCTTTATAATACTGTGCCCATTTTGGTTGTATAGTTGCTGTATAAATATTCTTACAATGTTTTTGAGTCTTATAAGATTTGTCTCGAAAATGTTGTTGCAGCTTTTATAAAACACCAAATTGCTAGTTGGGTGGTTACTGTCATCATGTCTATTATGAAACGTTTGTTGGGACACAATGTTCCTGTACATCGTTCGAAAAATGTACAAAAAAAATGTCACAGGGCACTTGTCGCAAGCTCCTCACCCAAATCGGCGGGTGCATGTCGCGGTTTGTACAGCCCGTTTTTTTTTTCCGCGGGGTACCCCCGTTTCCGGAATTAAACCACTGGGTCAGCCGCCCCTCGTCCACCCCCCCGGCCGCCGAGCTCCAACAAGTGGCCGCCGTCGCGAGCCCATGCGTGCGTGGCCAATGGCGGTGCGCTGGCGGGGGCGGCGAGGCCTAGTCGCGCGTGGCCGCCGCCGGGGTGCGCAGTCGCGAGCGCACGGCGACGGCGAGAGTACGTGAGCGTCGGCGGCGCGAGTCAGAGGCGACGGGCACGACGAGGCGGCCGGCAACCGGCGCGAGGCTGCAGTAGCGCCCCGACGACGGTCCACCGAAGGGGCTCCACCACCTCCCCCACGTAAGTACTCTCCGTGGCATGCCACTGTGTTGCGTTGTCGATGTGGTCGGCTCCGGGCTGGGCCCGGGGCTTCGCCGGCGGCTCTTTGAGTTTTCCACGCGGGATTTTTTTTTCTGTAAGCATGTCGCTGTGCCGCGTTGGTCCGAGTTGGTACAGACTTTCTGTGGTGACTTTTTGCGATGCAATTGTGGAATTTATTTATTTTTTATCAAAACCGATGTGAAAATGTTGGCTTTTAATTTGGTGAAACGCAAATGTTCAAAAATTACCACGTTTCTGTGTACAAATGAAAACTAACTAAAATTATCCGAATTTCCTTAAAATCGGTTTTAAATTACCATTAACATTAATCCATATAAAATTTTCCTTTGAACTACCGCCTCTTTGGTAAATAATTTCAAGGTTTTCATGATAAAAGTAAAAAAAGTATAATCATAAAAAAAAATAAATAATGAAAAAAATTATTATTATTTAGATGTACTGTATATGTAAATTATTTAGTCTCTGTGGGTTCTCGTATCTCAATACATTGAAAATTCCATGCAAAATATGTGTAGGATTTTTTTTCGGTAAGCATGTCGCTGTGCCGTGTTGGTACAGACACCCTGTGGTGGCTTTTTACGATGTAAGTGTGAAAGTTATAAATTTTTTTCGGAACCGATGTGAAAATGTAAGTTTATATCTGGTGAACGCGAAATATGATATGCCCAAAATTAATAGCGTTTCTGTGCAAAAATCGAGAAAATATAATAAAATGTGATACTTTTGTTAAAATCGATTTTAATTGACCATTAAGAAATCCATAGAGAATTTTCTTGTGCAGACCTACCGATTCATTAAATTTATTAATTGTTTTAATTATTAAATAATTAATATAGAAAAAATAGCGGATCAGAATATTGTATTATTAAATTGGGATTATATTATTCGAATATACTATCGAATGATCTGTGGTGACTTTTTATGATGTAGGTATTTGTGAATTTATTTTTTTTTAACTCGCTATCAAGTTGGATGTCCTGATAAAATTATTTGAGTTTTGCTAAAAACGATTTTAAAATATAAAAGAAATTAATAGATTTATTTCTCTGCAAAACTATAGATTCTTTAATATTACTAATTTTTTTTTAGTAGATGATCTCAAGAGTTCTAATGACTTATAAGTGAAGAAAAGAATGAATGTCCCGTTCATGTTTCAAAAAAACTTGTGTGCAAGTTCCTCATGGAAAAATAATAGGGGTAGTTCATGTAAAGTTTTTTCTAGTTTTCGAGATATAGTGTGTTGAAGTTGTAACTTTCCAAATGGTTTTCCTTAATTATCTTTAAATTGGCTAAAGATAAAAATGTCAAAATTTGTACACGAGTAAACATCAACTGTGCATTAAGAATAATATGCAGGTTTCTTTCTGAAAAGCAGTGTCGCCGATACAGGTAATTGGAGGGGTACAATCGAAAAAAAGTATGTTAAAAGTCAAAATTTATCACATTTCTAAACGGTTCTGTAAACTCTAAAGCATACAACAAAAAAAAAGGTATACTTGTCGAAATTCGGTAGCATGTACCATTTTCGAGAAAAATGAAGTTGCATAGAAATAAATGGGGGACAATTTCAGAATCTACTGTAGTATTTTGAGATTGCACATTTATTTAATTGTGCAGCTGTTTTGTTCTGTATGTCTCCGAGTCTGTTTCCTAGTATTTTTCTGTTTTTATCATTTTTTTTAAACATTCATGTCCATCAACAATTCAGTCCATTCAACAATTGTTTAATTTAGTAATGGTAGTGTAGTAGTTTACAAAATCTAAAATATCGGCGACACTGCTTTTCAGAAAGAAACCGTTTGCACATAATTAAACAGAGCGTCTAAGAAAAAAAACTAAATGAACTACCCCTATTATTTTTCCATGAGGAACTTACACACAAGTTTTTTTTTAAACATGAACGGGACACCCTGTATATAGCAAAAATTATCCAAGCAGAAAATTATAATGTCGAAGTATACAAGGTATTTATTAAGTAGTTGTACAAACTTTAATCTTTGACTAATTTTAAGACAAAAATTTCATATGAACATAAGTCCGTAACAGTTTGGTTCTTGAGATACAGAGTGTCCAAAAAAAAAAAAGAAATGTTTGATATTTTGATTATATTTTTGTTCAATAACATGACAATAAGACGAAATTCGGGAAACTGGGAGTATTGATGATGAGAAACTCAAATATTTACTTAGTTTTTTGTTTAATAATATGTTAGGTGTCACATAGAGTGTTGTACCTGGATTTAAATAACCATAAATTTATATAAAGTCAATTTTATTTCAACGTTAATAGTAATTACTGATACTATAATTTTTCTTGGACGATCTGTTATCTCAAGAACCAAGCCCTTGCGGACCCATGTTCATCTGAACTTTTTATCTTAAAATTAGTCAAGGATTCACCCTTTAAAGTGTATACATTTACTTAATAAACACCCTGAATGTGTTTAGATATACGGTTTACATAAAGGAAAAAGTGGTAAAGGAAGTTAAAGGAAATTTTCTTTCGTTACTCTCATTTTTTCTATATAGAAAGGTAAAGAAGATAAAAGTCAGTCGAATTACACCAAAAGCTCAAATTTCTACTTAAAAAATAAATAGTAGAATGCCGAACATTGTTGAAAGTAAGTATTTTTAAGGTGCATTTTAAATTACTATTAAAAAAATCCGTAGAAAATTCTTTTGTGTAGAACTACCAATTGTTTAGGTAAATAGAAACTTATAATATCGAGTATACCTATATAGGTTTTTGTACATAGAAATAATTCAGTTTTCTGAGGGTTCTTTTAATGCCACTTCAAAAATTTTACGCCAAATACATATGTTGAATATTTTTCCTTTATCTTTTTCAAAAATTTTTTGAGCATCTCTGTAAAAGTCAAAATTTTTTAATGCAATTGCAAATAGTTACTATACACCTTCATAACGAAAGTAAAATGGACTATTTAGTTAGCTATGTGAAAATTGAAAATGTCATTTACAACAGAAAATAAAATGGGGTTGAAAATCTAGAAAATTTGAAAAAGATGTAACACTAATAATCTACAAAATTTCTTGTCCTGCAATTTTTGTGGTTTAATTAATTTTATACCTTTATATCATTTGAAATTTCCAAGGTAGGCATCCTTAAGTGAATCTACATTGAAAAACCGTTTGTTAAAACCTTAATGAAACCAGCTTTAAACATTCCACAAATTACAGAATTATTCTGTGATAAAGAACGTGTCTCTTTAAAGTAACCAAGTGAAAAATGTGCCGACAGAATTATAAAAAACATGTTACTAATAAGGCATTTTTGCAATGTCATTGAGAAACCCGCGAATAAACAAACTATGGACTATTATTACACATAATTCGGCCAAATTAGCGTTAGTTGTATGTCCTTCTTTTAAATGAACTGCTCGTGTTGATTTTATACTGCGTAAGACGAGGTATTTTAAGTACAGATGGATTCCACTAGTGAAAAGTTTTCGCAAAAAACGAGATTCAAGTTATCGTGAGGTACAAACCGAAAGTAAGTACAAAGCTTTGAAATATTTGTGGCTTTTTCCTGTAGTAGCGATAGTAAATGCGAAAAATTAGTAATATCAATGATATTTCCCGAAGTGTTGTGTTTAAGGCAATATTGTTATTTTGTTAAAGATGTTTCGTCTGAATTTTTAATGCATTTCTATTAATTTTTGTTGCACGATTGAAAAATGTTCATGCTAGAAATAATAGTAAATTTTCTCGGTAGAATTTCAAATGTACTTTCTTTACTGTTACTCGTATTTTGTCAGTCATTTACTTCAAAGAAGTTTCAGCTAACATTCGAAACTTCCTCAGCTTGAACTATCGCTTTTCAATCATTAAAATGGCATTTGTTCGTGACATATCCTCATCTAATAGGTATAAGTTCTGAAATCCTCTAAAAGTGGTACTGAAGGTTCAATTTTAATTTCGAAACCCTTAAAGTTTCCTATAACTGTTTATAAATGAACTGTTTTCTTAGGAAGGCTTCCTTTTGTGTACAAAGTTGAAAAATAAGGATCTGTGAATAGAGGTATTGAATAAATAAGAATTTTTTCTCAATTATAATAACTCAATGTTATTCATATATCCAAAACTCTTAAAAATAGAAAGTTTAATCCATCTGAATATTTTACACGAAAACAGTTATCAGGCAAATAATGCGTCGATATTTTTTTTATTAAAGCCCGAATATGTCACAAAGTAACACCTTTGTATCAGTTACAGAATCAAAACAAAATTAGGATTGTTTTAGAAATATTTTTTGTTATTTTTACATATTATCTATCGCATAGAGAGTCGACAGCAAAATCGTGGTTGTTAGGTCCCTCGAATAGCTTCAAATTGCAGTTAGAATTGTTAATTCAATTCTTTGTGAAACGTGGAAATGCGGCCCATCTGAAAGATCGTTAAATTTTGAGTAATTTTTGTAAATAAAATTTTTCCCAATATTTACGTGTTTTCGAGATATGTCGACTTCAATATGCAATGTATGATGTAACAGGGAAATCTATTATTTTATTTAAACCACACTGAGACAAAATATTCATTCAAAATATTGTTATAATGGCTTTATTCATACCACATACTAACTAACAAACAATAAATTATAAAAAAACAAATAATCAACTACAGAAAAAAAAAATATACAATGGTAAATCTTATGAGGGGCAGAGACGAACCGTATCTTATCAAATATTATTAAAAAATTCAGTCATAGGTGGCTCATGTCATTTGTTTAAAATAAAACATGTAAACAGATGACATATATTACTTTTCCAATAATTACAGTTTTATCAGCTTGCGTATATCAATTTACTAACAATTCTCAATTGAAGCCATTCGAGGGACCTAACAACCCCAGTTTCCTAAAATAAATTTAACCCTGTATATGTTTATGTACTTTGTTTCTACTTCTACTTTTGTTCATTATTCATTGTATATTTCTTATTTGCTCAGACATTGTTTATTTTCTTTTTAAGTTTGATGTATGTTGTATTTTTCATAAATGTTTTAAAATTTTTACTTAATTTTCTTCAGAGGTGGCAAAATATCCAGTAAACAAAAATAAAAATTAAAAATATGCCATAAATAAGTATATTCAGACAATATATTAATTAAAGATGCTACGATTTTTTTCGCCACTGTCATAATTTTGAATTTCACGACTAAAAAAGGTAGTACTTATTAATTACACAGCCACACAAAAAAAAAGTTGGGTATACTTTTTATGCGACATATATTTTTCATAGTAATTTGGCCTGCTGAACACGAATCTGGGGTCAGAACTGGCCCATCACGTCACAATTTTTTCCTAACCTCAAAAAACTTGTGAAAAATAGTGAAAATTGATGAAAATTTACTCGGAAAATTTGGAAAAAAATTTATTTCNCGCTTTTCACTCACAGGTTATTATGAACAATTTCACACCGACTCATGAATTATGAACATCTAGAATCGTCAATTTCAAATTTACAAAAATATGTCCTAAATAGGGTTTTCTGTCGTGAATTCCCATATCACTTTGACTGACAAAGTATTTTCCATTCTTTATCGATCTTGCCACTATCCCAATTATCTTCGTTCTACATCTACGTACTTTTCCAACCCTGCTTTGTTTAAATCTTCTTTTAATTTTCATTTTAGTACAGTCATTGAAGCTGAAAATCAGCTGTAACTCCCGAATTTTTTGAAACTGCATGGGTTTGCATGAAAATTTAGAATAAGGCTCATTTTAGACTCAAGTTCAAAAGTGACATAAGCCCGATTGACGCTTTTTGCTATTTAGGGGTAAAAACTACCCCTAAGTGAAAAAATTTAAAAAATAAGTTTTAAACATTTTATTGATAAAAATCTTGTTCAAGCACAAAGATTAAATAATGTTCCATGTTCTTGAACATGTTTTATGATATATTTGATCTTCTCGACACTTTATTTAACCCTTAAAAACTACCCCTATGCAAAAAATAATGATAAAAAATTACGTTTTAAATCTTTGTGCAATAATTTAAAATAAAAATTCCCTTATATTGTTTATACACGTTGACGCGACTTGAATCCTAACAGTTTGCTCAAAAAATGAGAAAACCTATTTTACTCCGAATATATAATGTATAGGACGTACAACACTTTTTAAAAAACGATGTTCATTACACTTTTTTTAATAAAATGCGTAGTTTTTGAGTTATTCGCGAAAAATACTGAATAACTAAAGAACTATTGATTTCTCGAAAACATTCTTCGAATATTTTTTGCTCAAAATTTGATTTTCTATCGATTCCAGCGTTATTTTTGAAAAAAAATTTGGAAAACAGGGTGGAAGCGTCAATCGGCACTATGTCATTAATGTTCATTGACCTTTTCTCTAACTGTCTGCCAAATTTCAAGTCGATCGGTTCAGTTTCAAAGAATTCGGAGGTGAAAAGCTTCAATGAATGTACTATTTGTACAATAAACCCCAACAATTATTTTTCTTATTTAGAGAACCCATGTTTCGCAGCCTTAGATGAGATGAGANCGTGTTCAGGAGACCAAATTACTACGAAAAATATATGTCGCATCAAAGTATACCCAACTTTTTTGTTTTTGTGTGGCTGTGTATCACTTAATTTTCAAATTATAAAATATAAGCGGGCAATAAAAAGTTTCCGCTTATTAGTTGGAGATCTTTTTAGTCCGCAGCTGTATCTATAACCGATTTGATAACAAAATTAACTGACTGCAATAGAACCTTGTACAAAAAATTTAATAATTGGTACAACTACAAAATTGCCTCATTTTTTAAATTTCTAAAAGCACCTGCGAATTTTGTTCTTATTTAAACATTGTACAATAGTGTTGCGCCTTAATGATGGAGTTTAAAGTTGCAACGTTCCTAGCAAGCAGGACAAGTGACACACACACTCTCCACACACCTGTCTTTTAGAAAGGGGGAAATCTGTTGCACAGGAATTGATTACCCGCCCAAAGAGAAGTAAATGTGAATAAAATATGTCGTAAACTTTGCGTCGTCGGAATCTAGCAGCTGATTTACACAGGCCGCCTTTTCAGCGGCGTACTCCTCTAAAACCCACCTGAAACCTGAATAAACTGAAACTTTCCCTTCCCTGCTCCAGTTCTCCGTCCTCTGCTGTGTACTTTTACTAGTCGAACTCGCTTACCCAAATTAAATACGTTTATTTATCCGGTCTGAAATTAGGCGACGCAGTTGTTTGTCGAATTTACGCTTTTCACTCACAGGTTATTATGAACAATTTCACACCGACTCATGAATTATGAACATCTAGAATCGTCAATTTCAAATTTACAAAAATATGTCCTAAATAGGGTTTTCTGTCGTGAATTCCCATATCACTTTGACTGACAAAGTATTTTCCATTCTTTATCGATCTTGCCACTATCCCAATTATCTTCGTTCTACATCTACGTACTTTTCCAACCCTGCTTTGTTTAAATCTTCTTTTAATTTTCATTTTAGTACAGTCATTGAAGCTGAAAATCAGCTGTAACTCCCGAATTATTTGAAACTGCATGGGTTTGCATGAAAATTTAGAATAAGGCTCATTTTAGACTCAAGTTCAAAAGTGACATAAGCCCGATTGACGCTTTTTGCTATTTAGGGGTAAAAACTACCCCTAAGTGAAAAAATTTAAAAAATAAGTTTTAAACATTTTATTGATAAAAATCTTGTTCAAGCACAAAGATTAAATAATGTTCCATGTTCTTGAACATGTTTTATGATATATTTGATCTTCTCGACACTTTATTTAACCCTTAAAAACTACCCCTATGCAAAAAATAATGATAAAAAATTACTTTTTAAATCTTTGTGCAATAATTTAAAATAAAAATTCCCTTATATCGTTTATGAAAGAATATTTAACTTTTGC